GGTGAATGGATGGTTGCGGGGTGGATGGATGGATGGATGGATGGGTGGGTGGATGGATAGATGGATGGGGGATGGATGGATGGATGGATGGGTGGATGGATGGATGGATGGATGTGTGGAATTAGTTTTTATTTTTATATTTTACATTTTTATTTTAAAATGTTAATAATTTATTTTTTTGTCATTTTTTTTTGTTTTCTTTAATATGTCCATATAGCTTCTATAAATATTTATTTCAGTTTTAGCGTTATTTTAGTATATCAAGTTAAACTAAATGAAAATGAAAAATGTTGCCTTGGCATCTCGCTGAAAAAGAAAGTTAAGTTTTTATATATTTTATTTCAAGTAACACAAATGTTAGTTATGGATTTCGCTTTAGTTAACTGCAGCTCTCTCTGCTTTCCTCCAGGTCTGACTCTCCTCACATCAGCGATGACAGACGTGTGACATCGACACCAGAAACCAGCCAAGCGGCGGCCGCAGAGGAGAATCCTTCACTCATTTACTCCCATAGAAGCTCTTATTTAGTGGACGTACGACGGAACCAATCCGATGCCTTAAAACGAGCTGCCGCGTCCTCCCGTCTCCGCAGAGCGAAGGAGAATGCCGCAGCGCCGGACTGACGCTGCTTCCATCCGCATCTAGTCTTTAGTTTGTGTGTGAATCTCAGGATCATCTGGTGCGACACGGCCGGACACGTCAGCGTTCGTTTTAGGCCAGTGTAAAGTGTGTTTCGTGAGTTTGTACCGCACTCTGTCTGTAATAGTGTTAGTTTTCACGTCTCCAGAGGAGGCCGAGTGACAGAACCAGATCCTTCTGTCGGCATGCACATGTAAACACGTTTCGGACCTGACGGCCTTCAATTACTGCCATACACAGACCATCTGCTTCAGTTACAAAGGAAGAACGGACGCACACGTGCGAGTGTTTCGCACTGATCATCTGTGCTACTGTATGTAGAGAGGCAGACGGTAGCTGCGCTTATGTGACCGAGTGTTTTAGCCTGTGATTTCTGCTAAATCTCCTGCGGGACCGCTGAGCTTCGCTGGCTTTATCTGCAGGCGTTTGGATGTTCACTGGACTGGTTCCAGTGGCGTTTGCACAGTTCCAGTGCGGTCGGACTGAATGTGAGCATCCAGCGGCTCGACTCTCATCACTGCGACGCTTCGCTGCTGCTGCTGAATCTGACACTGATTCCACACGTCGTGTTCGCTGAACGTTATTATGGGAAGCCAAACACCCAGAAGTAGGACGAAACATGGCTCAATAGACTGAATGGTACGACTGACTAGACAGCGCAGGGAAGGACGTACATGGCACAAACTAATCTCACCATCGCGGTGCTGATCAATTACAACATTACTCGTACTGCTCCGCAGAAGTTCATGTGTTTGCCTAGCAACCACCCAGAACACCCTAGCAACCGCATAGCAACACTTTAGCAACCACCCCGAGTACCTTGGCAACCACATAGCAACCACCCCAGGTACCATAGCAACCGCATATCAACACCTTAGTAACCACCCTGAGTACCCTAGCAACCGCATAGCAACACCCTAGCCACCGCCTATCAACCACCCAGAACACCCTAGCAACCGCATAGCAACACTTTAGCAACCACCCCGAGTACCTTGGCAACCACATAGCAACCACCCCAGGTACCATAGCAACCGCATATCAACACCTTAGTAACCACCCTGAGTACCCTAGCAACCGCATAGCAACACCCTAGCCACCGCCTATCAACCACCCAGAACACCCTAGCAACCGCATAGCAACACTTTAGCAACCACCCCGAGTACCTTGGCAACCACATAGCAACCACCCCAGGTACCATAGCAACCGCATATCAACACCTTAGTAACCACCCTGAGTACCCTAGCAACCACATAGCAACACCCTAGTCAACGCCTAGCAACCACCCAGAACACCCTAGCAACCGCAAAGCAACACTCTATCAACCACCCCAGGTACTCTAGCAACCGCAGAGCAACACCTTAGAAACCACCCCGAGTACCTTGGCAACTGCATAACAACCACCCCGGATCCCATAGCAACTGCATATCAACACTGTAGCAACCACCCTGAGTACCCTAGCAACCGCATAGCAACACCCTAGCAACCACAGAGGAACACCTTAGCAACCACCCCGAGTGCCTTGGCAACCTCATAGCAACCTCCTAGCAACCACCCCAGGTACCATGGCAACCACATATCAACACCTTAGCAACCACCCTGAGTACCCTAGCAACTGCTTAGCAACACCCTAGCAACCACCCAGAACACCCTAGCAATGGCATAGCAACACCCTATCAACCACCCCAGGGACCCTAGCAACCACAGAGCAACACCTTAGCAACCACTTCGAGTAACTTGGCAACCGCATAGCAACCCCCTAGCAACCACCCTGGGTACCATAGCAACCGGATATCAACACCTTAGCAACCACCCTGAGTACCCTAGCAACTGCATAGCAACACGCTAGCAACCACCCAGAACACCCTAGCACCGAGCGCGTTGACAAAAGACACAAACATAACATATTAATGTTGTTATTATATGTAGGCATCTTTGCTTTATCAAAGTGATTTTCCCCATCATACGGATAAAGTTTAAAGCATTAATCAACCCTTTATTGCCACATTCGATGTTAATGAAAAGAATCATCATGACAGACATTTACAAAAGTATAAATTGTAAGAAATAAAAAGCTACAGTTTGAGACCAGAAATGCATCACGTAACTGCTGGCAAGGAAGATTGGAATGATTGACTAATTTCTATAACAAAAGAACGAACGGCTCGGACCTGAAGACTCGAGAGGTGAACCAATCATTTCTGTTTCCCGTTTCGGAATGAACGAATCCCTCGATGTTCCCGAGTCATATTAAAGATTCGTTCAAAATGAACCCGTCCTCCTCTTTAATACCGTGCCGTTTCGTCCCACTTTTGGCGCGTTTGGCTTCCCGTATTGCATGCTGCATTATGACAGATTAGTCTCATCTTTAGGTTTCGACTCCAGCTCAAGAGTGCTCGTTTCACGCCGGCCTGTTCTGTCAAACACACGAGCGAGTTTACAAACCCTAACAGAGTCTATAATATCATCTGGGCGTTGAGCTGTAAATACTGAAGCAAAAGAAATGTTCTTTGGTTTGTGTCCAGGTCAAACTCGTTCGTCTTTTGGTGCCATTCTTGTGTATCGTGTGACTTCAAGTAGCCGAGCAACCCACCGCATCACAGAGGTTTAATGTGTGTTCGTTTGGGGAAAAATAAACGTTTGAATATGTATTCTTATGAGCAGCTTTGTGTGAAGAACCTCACAAACTGCTGTTCCTCTTCTGTGTGCGTGCTGTGTTCATCCTTAATAATGTGATCTACACTGCTGTTTTACACAAGTCTCTTCTGCTCATCAAGCCTGCATTTATTTGATCAGAAATACAGAAAAATACTGGAATATTGTGAGATATTATTGCAATTTAAATTGTTTTTTCTAGTTTAATATACATTATACTGATTTCTGAAGATCATGCGACACTGAAGACTGGAGGAATGATGCTGAAAATACAGCTGCGCATCACAGAAATACATTATATTTTAAAGTTTATTAAAATAGAAAACCATTATTTTAAATTGCAATAATATTTCACAATATTACAGTATTTTTCTGTATTTCTGATCAAATAAAAAAATCTGCCAATGGGGTCAGAAAAATAAACTTGTTTTCTTTTTAAATGGAGTTGCTTTTCCAGACCTCAACTTCTGGAAAACTGAGTTCAGAACTCTATTTAATATTACTGTGCCATACTCAAAGTACCCGCGTGCAGTGCTGGGAGAAACGAACCGTTTCGAAGCTTTGAATCAATTGAATCACTTGCGTTTCAAAATGATTCAGTGTTTCGAAACGCCACACGCTGGCGACCCCTGCTGGTCCAAACCGTGTAACTGCAGTCAGATGTTTTATCCTTTTAATTACACAAATGTTTCAAATTAAAAATGTCAACAAATTTTTAAAACTGATCCGAAATCAGGTCAAAAGGCGACCCCTGCTGGTCAAACTATGCAAATGCAACGAGAACACAACAAATGTCTAATAACCAGGTTTCAAAGCGTTCATATGGCTAACCTACAAATCATAAAATACTATCAGATAGGATCTGTGTGTATAATTTGTGCGCTTTTATTAAATTGTGGTGCTTGTTTTGTGTCTCTTATGGGAGGACATGGCTAATCAGGCCAATTTATTAACTACGTCGCTCTTAATTACACACGCGTTTGTCATTAAAACTGAACCGAAACTATGAATCTGACCCGAGATCGGTGAACCATGAAATCACGTGACATGGCCAGTTTGATACAAAAGAGTTATAAAGTTTCGAAGCTTCATGCAGCAGTGATTTACTGTTACTCCACTACATTTCGTAAAAACATGTCTTTCCTGGTTATTTTGAACTGGAGAAACCATCACGCACTACAAGCGGTGTCCGATTCTTGAACGAGCTGATTCTTCTTCTTCTTCTTCTTCTTTGGTAACGAGCTGATTCTTTTCAATGAGCCTGTTAAATCGGTTCGCAAACCGCACTGAACGATTGATTCCTTGAGACGACGACTCACTGATTCAAATGATCCGATCACAGCGAGTCTCCAGTCAACGACTCACTGATTCAAATAATCCAGTTCACTGATTCAAATGATTCAGTCAGAGCGAGTCTCCAGTGAACGACTCACTGATTCAAATGATTCAGTCAGAGTGAGTCTCCAGTGAACAACTCACTGATTCAAATGATTCAGTCAGAGCGAGTCTCCAGTGAACGACTCGCTGATTCAAATGATTCAGTCAGAGCGAGTCTCCAGTGAACAACTCACTGATTCAAATAATCCAGTTCACTGATTCAAATGATCCAGTCAGAGCGAGTCTCCAGTGAACAACTCACTGATTCAAATAATCCAGTTCACTGATTCAAATGATCCAGTCAGAGCGAGTCTCCAGTGAACAACTCACTGATTCAAATAATCCAGTTCA